TACCAGATCGTAGAAGCGATCTGGCGGCAGCTGAACCACCAGAATCCCTTCTACTGTAAAGCCGTCTGTAAAGCTCTACAAATCTGAACAGAGTCCCGGTGGCTTTTGTCTGTTTAACCCCTTCAGGATTCATGACGGGATTATCCCATCATGGGTTGTGAAAGGGATAAGCACTAAATGGAACTGAGGAGCATAGGAAAATTCCATGTTCCTCAGCTCCATCTAGAGGCCATATTCTGCTGCATATCTAAACATAGACATTCAAAGAGCTGTTTAGGCTGGGTTCACACCTAGGCGTATCAAATATGCGAGTTTGTTGCACGTTTCGTGCCTGTGCGTTTTTACCGCGATTCGCGGTATAAAAAACGCGCGTTTCCGAGGGCTACCTGGCTGTATCCCAATGGATATGCGCAGCAAATACGCCCCAAAGAAGCTCCTGTACGTCTTCGGGCGTTTTGCAGCGCGTTCCTACGCGCTGTAAAACGCCCAGCTGGGAACCATTCCCATATGCAATCATTGGTTTTCACATGTTGAGCGTTTTAAAGAGCGTAGGAACGCGCTGTAAAACGCCCAGGTGTGAACCAGGCCTTGCTCTGCATATATTTTATAAACACGCCCTCCAGCCTTTAGTTGCCCGTGTGCTGTGCTTCTGGTGTGTATCTGCACTTGAAAAGCAGACCTTTACCCATATCTTTAAAATAACAACAATGGCACCTAGTAATGACAATCTACAATCACATTCTTCTAGATAATTACCGGCTTTGTATTCTTGGCATACCTTACTTCTCTTTTCCTCCCCAGTCTTGTCACAGTGGCCATGTTAACTAAGGGCAGGTTACTAGCTCTCCCTTTACTTGCTGGAACTCTGGCACATGTGACTAGGACATGTGACCATGCACATCATCTCAGAGGAGCAAAATGCCTTTCCCTGAGATCTCATGAGAGTACAGATGAGATTTCCCAGCAATGCTCTGCTGATATAACCTTCCCAGGATGCAATGCTTGGGCACAATTACATAATTTGTGCCAAAGTGGAACGGGAAGTAGATGAACTCTATTTGTAAGTAAAATAAAAACAAGTTTAACTAATGAATGCAAGATGATTTCATATCATCGTGCAGAGCTGTATGCCGGTGATTTTTTTAGTGAAAGGGGGTAAAGGTCGGCTTTAATATGAATTGGTTACCTCCAGGCATACTTCAAAAACTAAAAAAAAAATCCTTTAACCCCTTCGTGACTGACGACGTACAGTGTACGTACATTACCCCCAGTTCAGCCAGCGATAAAGTACATTCTTGCAGCTCTCTTTTCAGCACAGCACTGAAAACACACTTTTCAGCAAACAAATCTGAATGAAGCCCACAGGCAGGGAGCTGCAATGATACCATAGGTCAGGGGTAGGCAACCTCGGCACTCCAGCTGTTGTGGAACTACAAGTCCCATGATGCATTGCAAGACTTTGACAGCCACGGCTCACAGAAGAAGAAGCATGATGAGATTTGAAGTTTCAGTACAGCTGGAGTGCCAAGGTTACCTACACCTGCCATAGGTCATAAACAAGTACAGGATTTACATTTAAACTCTAGAGATGGGTTTTGCGGTGGCTTCACACTCGAGTTGCCGTGAGAGATACAAAGAATACGCTCTAAAAATACTACCATTAAAAAAACATGCTGTGTGTAATCAGGGGGAACGGTAAAGTGCACGCTAGCAGTTCCCATACAGCTATTCCAAGATGATGCATTCATGTAGATTTTAATAAGGCTTTAGGATTCCAATAATAGAAGCATTTCTGATTTTGGAACTAGTGAACTTGTGCGTGATTTGCTATCTCACCCTCACACTGGGTCAGGCTTTAGCCCGATCCTAAATTTGTATTTCATAGTGACTCTACCTTCACAGCAATTCAAACTGACCATACACTATACAATCTCATTTAGCTTTACCAAAACGAAGTAACATGAGGACAAACCTAAACCATCTATCCAATTTGTATGAAATCAGGCATGACCTTGCACTACATAGATGATGGGAGATCTAAAGGAGATTGTACAATCAGATTGTATAGTGGAAGGTCAGCCTTAGACCCACCAGTGTTAGTAGATTGGATTCATTAAAGTGAAAGCTGGCAGGAATGAGCTTTGGAAGGTCCCGTTCCTAATCTACTTCTGAAAGAGCTGCTTGTCTGGCCGCCATGCTGATCCTTTGCTTTCAGCACTTTCTGAGTCACGAACCTGGCACAAATATAAAAAGGTAGGGAATTCCGGCTTTTTCTTTCTTTTAACCACTTCAGCTCCTGTCCAATGAACCAGAGCAATTTTTACATTTCCACTATGGGCCAGTTTATTCGGCAAAAACATAAACATATTTTCACATTTAATGCCAAATGTCCCATTGCGCCAAGGGAAGCGAGTGGCATTTTCTCTGGTATTAAAATAATGATGGGTGGCCACAAACCTTGTAATCATTAAGCTTACAATTATAGGCATTAGAACACATTAAATCAGGGGTAGGCAACCTCGGCGCTCCAGCTGTGGTAAAAACTGCAAGTCCCATCATGCGTCCGCCTCTGGGAATCGTGCCTGTGTGTGTTAGATTCTTGCAAGGCCTCATGGGACTTGTAGTTCAACAACATGTGGAGTGCCGAGGTTGCCTACCCCTGTATTAAACATTATCTTTCAAAGTAACAGTTGCAGTGGTTTTAAAATTAAACAGAAGTTTATGTTCTGTGCTCATTTTGGCAGTAAAGGATGTCTAGCGGGGCTCTATTTTTGAAGATTTCGTGAAACTGATGCAAGTTACCTGTAGTACACAAACCAGGCCAGACAGTGAATGCATCCAGAAAGATTCAGTCACTGTTTGGGTATTCAGCCAGGCGCAGGGTTGTCCTTCTGTCTGAATACAAGAGCCAGCAGAGGAGATGCCTCCATCTATGCTGTTTAGCGTGCATAGGGGAACTGAATAATTTCTCTTGTTCAATCAATTCAGTTAATTAGAGAAATCTGCACATGTATGGCTATAGCCTTAGTCAAAATCCAAAGACTTCTACAGCTTTGTAGGATAACACTCTAGGAGGGAGAATGACTAATAGAAATTTTACATCCTCTTTACAAAAAAGGGCTCAAAGCTATGAGTTCTAGGCTCCCAATGGTATTCCTAAATGTGCTGTCTCTGGACTCTATATTGCTATATAAACATAAGACTGTACTAGAAAGTAAACTTTTGACATGTAGTTCCAGCAGCAGCTGAGGATACAAAGGTGTCTTACCACTAGGTCATCTCATACTCACCAAAGTAGCAGGAAGAAATGTTCTACCGCATATTTTACAGGGCCTGAGATCAGCAGGGGATATGTTGTCTGTAAAAGTATCAAACATAAAGAATCAAAATCCCATTCAAATGACAAATCATATTGCAGCTTACTAATTGTTAAACTGGGTGACTGCATTAGTTTTCTTTTTTACCCCTTTATTTTCACCTGGTAGTCCGACCAATAACACACTTTCTGTGTTAGAGTGGCTCCACTCTATGGAGGAGCAATGGAACCACGCTTGGACAGCAGCATTGTGACACAGTGGGGAGGGTCGCGTTCGATGGTCTAGCAGATTTAGATGGACTTGACTAATAGATTTAATCTGAACTCCAGGCAACGCCTTTTAAGCAGTTGCAGCAACAGTTTTAAATTTTTCCTTTTGGGATAAAGGTTTTAAATAAGTGAATAAAGGCAAAGCATTGTAAGCACTAGAGATGCACCGATACTGTTTTTTCTGTATCGAGTACGAGTACTGATATATAAATATTTTTTTGGTACTCACCAATACCCAATACCGATATCGGAAGTCCCATTAAGGAACCCAGGCAGCGTGCAATGACTCGCCACCCAGCTTCCTGATTGGACGGGAAGCCGGGCAGTGTGTAATGACTCGCCACCTGGCTTCCCGATTAGCCAGGAAGCCGTCTCCATGTTCCCTCATCACCAGGTGATGGCCACCAGGTGATTACCCGACTGGCCGATCAGGCAGTCGGGTAATGACTCGCCGCCCGGTTTCCTGATTGGCCAGCTTCCCGACCAATCAAGAAGCTGAGCGGGGAGTCATTACACAATCAGGAAGCCGGCTCCATGCTCCCTCGCCACAGAGTGACGAGGAAGCATGGAGCCAGCTTCCCGGCCAATCAGGATACCGGGGGGCAAGTTATTACCCACCTCCCGGCTTCCTGATTGCCCGGTAAGCCAGCTCCATACTCCCTGGTGATGATCAGGAAGCTGGCCAGCGTTTAATGACTCGCTGCCCGGCTTCCTGGTACCGGAAGTTCCGGTACCAAGATGGGCATCGGGAGCATTTGGACAAGTATGAATACATGCCCAAATACTCGGTATCAGCACCGATACGGATACTAGTATTGGTATTGATGCATCCCTAGTAAGCACCCCTGTCAGTGTTAAATGGTTTGTCTCAGTCCTCCATCGGACATTTTGTTGGACAGCTTGCCCGGTTAAAGGAAGCTGAAAAATAACAGACTTAAAGTGATATCAAAGTCAAATTTTTTTTTTCCCTCCCCAAAATGTTAATGTAAGCACTTACCTTAAATGATGTCTCTTAATCCGATTTTCCCGTCCTGTCCTTCTCAGTGTCCTGTCCTTCTCAGCCTTCTCTCCAGCGCTGCGGCGGGTGTCCGATCCAGCGCAGGCTCCTCTGTCCCTGCTGGCACTTCCGATCCCACGGTGTCGGCATGCAGATGTACGCGTCCGTAGACTTACCTTGCATCTCCTCGTCTCCCGGCCGAAAATCCGAACTGCGCAATGCGCCCGCCCCAAGATGCTTTGCGGCCGCCCGAGCAGATTGGATTCTCGGACGGGAGCACGCGGCGAAGGTGGGGTAAGTTTAAACCGTTGTTAAAGCGCTTTTTTTTTTAACTTTTTGCATATATCTAGAACGCCTAGAACACAGCACATGCGCAAAAGGAAAGCTGCCTAATCAAACGAATACTTTCTCTGCATTGGTCCAATGATCATTTCTGTAGTTTTTCATAAATTGGTTGGTTAGTATGGCTGACGAACGATTTCCGATATCAACATTTGACTATGTTTGATGGGGAACTCTACGTATAATCAAACAAGGATTTGTGACAGCAATGGAACGGTTCGAATGAAAATCGAACAATGTATGGCCACTTTTACTGGCCGGATCATGAGGTGAAAATAGGGCCTGGTTCACACCTGGGTGTTTTGTAGCGCGTTTGAACGCTCTGCCAAACGCTCAAACACCGAAATCCCATTATGTCCTATGGTTATGGGTCACACCTGGGCGTATTACAGGCCGTATGAACGCGCTACAAAACGCCCTACGCCCAAAGAAGTACAGGAGCTTCTTTGGGGCGTTTTTGTCGCGCGTTTCCATTGGGATACAGCCAAGTAGCCCTCGGCAACGCTCGTTTGTCGCGCTGGTTTTTAACGCGCGTCACGAAACGCGTATATTCTATACCTATACCTATATTCTATGTGAACCCAGCCTAAAAAGGGGGGAAAAAATTAAGAAAAGTAAACCAGTCACCAGCAAGCTGCAATATATAATAATTTTTCTTTGTGGGTTTATATAAACTTTAAATGAAGTTGCAATAACTCATATTGCTTGGTGAACTTTCCTCTATGGGGTATATTTATAAAGCAGTGAACCTGACCTTCAACAAACATTCACTGCAGGTGAATGTGTTTTTAAATTGCAGCAAGTAATATACCACCAGTAAATGTTTAGTGAATGTTACAATCAATGTTTTTGTCAACTAAAAAATAAAGTCTTTTATGTGTATGATTTACTGCCATCGGACACTGGGGTATGATTTACTGCCATCGGACACTGGGGTATGATTTACTGCCATCGGCCACTGGGGTATGATTTACTCCCATCGGCCACTGGGGTATGATTTACTCCCATCGGCCACTGGGGTATGATTTACTCCCATCGGACACTGGGGTATGATTTACTCCCATCGGACACTGGGGTATGATTTACTCCCAGTGGACACTGGGGTATGATTTACTCCCAGTGGACATTGGCACTGGGGTATGATTTACTCCTATTGGACACTGGCACAGGGGTATGATTAAGGCTGGGTTCACACCTAGGCGGATTGAATATGCACGTTTTTCACGCTGTTTTTTAACCGCGATTCACGGTAAAAAAAACGCACGAAAGACGCGCGTTTCCGAGGGATACTTGGCTGTATCCCAATGGAACCGCCCGACCAAAACGCCCCAAAGAAGTACATGTACTTCTTTGGGCGTAGGGCGGTTTCCCGCACGTTCGTACTCACGGAAAACCGCCCAGATGGGAACCATGCACATTGAAAATAATGGCATTTCCCTGTTTGAGCGTTTTTCCGCGAGTACGAAAGCGCGGAAAAACGCCTAGGTGTGAACCCAGCCTTACTCCCATCGAACACTGGGGTATGATTTACTCCTATTGGACACTGGCACAGGGGTATGATTTACTCCCATCGGACACTGGGGTATGATTTACTCCCAGTGGACACTGGGGTATGATTTACTCCCAGTGGACATTGGCACTGGGGTATGATTTACTCCTATTGGACACTGGCACAGGGGTGTGATTTACTCCCATCGGACACTGGCACAGGGGTATGATTTACTCCCATCGGACACTGGGGTATGATTTACTCCCACTGGACACTGGGGTAAGATTTACTCCCAGTGGACACTGGCACTGGGGTATGATTTACTCCTATTGGACACTGGCATAGGGGTATAATTTACTCCCACTGCATTTACTACTATGGACCACTGGTGTCACTTCCACTGACTACAGGCTCCGGGGCATTTTTGTTTTCCCGCTGACCACAGTGCAGCCCCCAAACAGTGTGAAATGGCCCTTTGTTTACAAAGTTTGGGGCCCCTACTCTACTTTAGTAGTCTATCCAGTGTGTATGTTGTACCCCATGCAGTAAGCAGCCATAGAAAGGATCAGTGAGGTGAGGACGGCCTGCAGGGCATTCCTGGTTATAGTTGGGAATTTGGATCCCGGGTCTTCATACGGTTTTGTAAACATGCTAAAGCTCTGGTACACATGTGCATCAGGAGAGGGTGGTAGCTGTGTGACTGCCCTCTGATGCCAAACTTGTCTCCGCTTAGGGAAACATTCCCTTTGTCTAGAACTGTGGTGCGTTCAAGAATGTCACATGATGCTGTAGGTTGAGGGGCACTGCTGGCCCATGCATTCATTTTGTAACCCCCACCCCACCCCCACTAGAATAGCAAGTCAAAGATGGGCAAAATGCTGCCTACAACATCATCCAGTGCCCATGTATAGGATGTCCCATGCTACAGGAGAGTACTTATTTTATGAATACCAGGAGCACTGTGGGTATTTCAAGTTATTAGAGGCTGCAGAGAGTTTATGGTTTGTAAAAGTGAATATAAACCATTATCAATAATATTTTAGATATATAAGTAATGTGAAAACCAGCTCAATGTAGATCTTATCAATAGATGCCAAGCTTTTACAAAGACTTTGTTTCTGTGTACAATTTGTAACGTACATAGGGACAGCCATATTTTCTCATAATGGTTGTACTTTATTGTTCCTTCTCACAATGCAAAAGTAAGTCTGTGTACCCGTTCACATATAGCGAATTGTCGCGCGATTTCCGCCGCGATATCGCGCATTTTTGCCGCGCGATATCGCGAGAAGTCGCCGGCCAATGTTATTCAATGGAGCTGTCTTAACTCCATGTCGCGCGTCGCTCGTCGCGGTCGCTTCTACCGGACCCTTTTTTCGGCGGATTTTGCGCGATTTTGCTTTTTTTCTATGGCGGCCGACGTGGAAGGTCGCGCTACCGTCGCTGGATCGTCGCTGGAACGTCGCCCCGAAAGTCGCGCTATCCCGGCCGTGCGGATCCGCTGCAAAAGGTATGTCGCTAGGTGTGAATGGGGTCTTAGGCAGCGTGGCAGCTCCAGTGGCAAATCTTAAACTAGCCATACAATTAGTGACGTCACATGGGGGGTGCCGCCCGCACCAGGAGACACCAAAAGAGGGGGTGACACCAAAATGACGGACAGTGATTTTGTTGTCACCCCCTCTGAGAAGTCGGACACACAGTCATGGACCGAGAGCCTGACAGGTGCATGAGAGAGGTGGGGACCCGGCGACACACCTTATTCCCCTTGGTGAACATCCCCTCCTCTCTTTGCTGGCATCCATCACTAAGATGGTCGCCGGCAGTGAAGTGTGCATCACATCATTACGCACGTGCGTGCGTAATGACATCCAGCCTTAGTGATTACCTTGCATACACGGCTTGAACTTTGGCGCATTCCTGCTGAACTGCCCAAAATTTGAGCTGAGGGCAGCCCTTTAAACAAAAGTCGATTTGAGCCCAGATGGAAATTTATTTGCCAAACAGCGACTACATCCCATCACATACAATCACTGTTCGGGTATTGAGGTAGCTGTAAGTTCTGGCAGTCAGAATACAATATCCTGCAGGGAAGAGTCCTCCATCATGGATGGGGGAATGGGGGGATTTTCTCAGCCCAGAAATACCCCAGGCTGAACGGGAGAGAATTAAGCATGCATGGTCAGCTTTACACTTTGCATTAGACTCAACACAATGTATAAAGAAACCAAGCCCTGATTGGCACAGACCATCAGCTGACTTTCCCCACGATATAGCAATGGTGAACAGGTGATTTCAGGAAGCTATTACAAAGACAAAATTCGCACACGTCAGCTAGCTGCAGGAACAGCAAACACTTTATGACTATTATGATTGAATGATAATCAGATTAGATCTACCCGAGGTCTTATTTTACCAGCATGGTATGAAGGGGCAGTGATGGGAAGTGATCGAAGGGGGCCAATCTAGAAGCAGACTGATGACACGGTCACCACAGATGCCTGCGACTGTTTCAAGAGACGCTATGATGTATCATGTGACCTTATCTGCAGATCAGACCACATTGCCCACACACTGAGAGATTCCCTTTAACTTCTACTAGGTGATACAGAGGAGGGCCAAGTGCCTGCAGGGATTAACAGATGCACACTTATATATATATAATCTCAGATTCGTCAATGAATGCAGAACCAGAGTGTGGATTTAGCAGCATTGAGTGGATCTGATTGGTGGAGTGAGATTAGCACACATGCAGCTACATGTATACAGAGATCAGTGGGTGATGTGCAGTCACTGGTACTTAGCTGTGACCACACTGGGGACACAATTGACCGTTACATTAGCACAGAATGGAGGTGTTGTACTGCTCTCCTGCTGCTGTGACTGCCATATGACAATCAGACACGTGATGGAGACATGCAATGCAGGCCCGATGTTTCCCTGGAGATCACAATGCATCGATCAGCCTGAATCGGCCTTTGTGTCTCCAATGCAGAGAAATGTTAGTGCAGGGAGATCCGCGGAATCCTCAGTCACACCAGTCAGCTGACGCTCTCCAGGACTCCCCTGTGCGGGAGGCTGTCATAGAACAATGACCCGCCGCAGCCCCTCCTTACCTTCCAGATCCTCCATGTTTCCCCCTCTATGTGTCGCTCCGCCGCACACTCCCGCTACCACGGCAACCGAGGCACGCCCGCCTAGCAACCAACAAGCCAATAATTGGCTGATCGGGAAGCGTCACCAGACACCGAGCTCTCCACGATGGGCGGAGACGGAGGGCCCGTTACGTCGCATAGCGGAGTGGGCGTGTCGTAGCTGTCACTATAGGGGAGCCGTCCAATAATAGGCGTACTCTGCAGTCTATAGGCTGTCATGTGTAATACCAGACAACCACGTGGGTCGTGTCCTGTAGCTGTGGTACACACCGTTGTCTGTCAATGAATGAGGGGAATGTGTACTGTGTGCGAGTTCTACCTCAATAAGACGGATTCCAACTATGGGGGCGTGGCTTAGTCTAGGACCCTCCGGGGTGCTGAGCCTAATGAGCACAGGCACAGTCTAGCACATTTACACCTCCACTTATTTTTCTTGTCATTCCATGGGGCGGGAACTCCCCACTACTGCGAGCTGTTCCTTTAACTGACGGACAGTGTTTCCTCTCTACATTGCAGCGGCTGTTCCCTCTCATAGCTAATGGGCGTTTCCTATCCGCAGTCCAGCGGTGAGCTAACTTTTCCAGTGTCTGATTCAATTCTAATACACGAGGGGAGTGTCTTCCCGAGATATCGGCGAGCAATGCAAGAGGGGCGTGTCCTGATGGTTAGCGGCTCCTTAGACTACAAATATATTTATATTATCTTGCTTTTTCTGTCATGCAACTAGGGTTGCCACCTTTTCTTCCAGCGAAACCCGAACACTCTAGCAACGGATGGAAATTTTTGGGGGAGAATGAGCCGTAGCTTATTCATATGGAGATAGCATCACCCATTCATATGTAAATATCACAGTCAAGACTATTTTTAGTGGAAGGCCAGCAGCCCCTATCTTAATTTTGGTTGCCCCTGTCTGCCTGACATCTTGTGTCTGGGTTTCAGCTGCCATGAAACCTGGACACAGCATTCAAAACCCGGACTGTCCGGGTGAATCCTGGACTAGGATTGCCACCTTTTCTTCAAGTGAAGCCCGAACACTGTAGCGATGCGCAGACATTTCTTTGGGAGAATGAGTCACGGCTCATTCATATGTAAATAGTGCTGCCCATTCATATGTAAATATCACAGTTGAGACTATTTTCAGTGGGGGTGCCAATAGCCCCTATCTTAATTTTGGCTGCCTCTGTCTGCCTGACATCTTGTGTCCGGGTTTCTGCTGCCATGAAACCCGGACACAGCATTCAAAACCTGGACTGTCCGGGTGAATTCTGGACAGGTGGCAACCCTACATGCAACGCTGTACTGAAATTAATTTTATATCCTTTTTTGGGGGGACAGATAGAGCTTTCTTTTGTTGGTATTTAATCACCACTGGGGTTTTTATTTTTTACTATATAATAAAAAAAGTTCAGAAAATTTTGAAAAAAAAAACTTGTTTCCCTACTTTAAGTAGGAGAATGCCAATCTTTCCTCCGTTTACAGTCTGAGCAGCCACTGTGCCAGTCTCGGGCCCGCGGGGTGGACAGCGGTGCCCGGGATAACCGGGGGCCTTTTGGCTAAGATCAAGTGTAGTATCTGTTCTTATCAGTTGCCGGTGGAAGAACGACACCACTCCTTCTCGAGGTGATTAGGATGGTGGCTTAGTATTTACCGGCGTAGCACCACCTTGCAATTACTGCACAACGCCTCTTGGACAGGCCTTATGGCTAGTCCGGGGCAATTGTTTAGCACCCGGCCTCTAGGGCCTGTCAGCGGGGTGCACTGGCACTATTCCTTTATTTATTGCACCTCATGCACGATTTGGCACTTTTTAATTTTTTCTATTTGACCCACAGATTGCTTAGGGTGCAGGTTCCTTCGGGGCCTATTCCCGATGCTGGGGAGGAGGTTCTGTGCCCTAATATAGGGTTCTCTGCCTCCTCCCGAATCAGGGAGTCTCTCTTTGGGAGAGCTCCCTACCTAGTACTGGGTGGGACCTGTTTCGGCAGGTCCCCGAAGGATCGGGGTCCGCCAGTCTCCGGGCTGGTGGACCAAAGTATCTCAACCCCTGTCAGGAGCCTTGCGCCCCGGGGGGGTCGGGAATTTGAGGTCCCTTCTTTATTGAAGGACCAAGCACCCTTGTGCACTTTTTGTGTGCTGTGTTTTCACGGTTCACTTTTTTTGTTCACAGGGGGAAGTTTGTTTTATGATGCACGTCCACGGGCTCAAAGAAACCGGGGGAGCACACGCTGTTTGTTGTCATACATGCAATCTGATAGCTGTAGAGCCACCCGAACGCTTGTATGCAACAGCCAGTTTCAGCTGTTTACATGCAGAGCGGGATTAGTGCGCATTAAGGTATCACGAAGGTGTGAACAGGGACTAAATGGTGTCAAGAGATTGTTACGGTCAATCTTGGTAAATAAGTTGCCAACTTGCAAAGACATTGGGTGGAATTTATCAAAAGTGGAGCAGCTAAAATCTGGAGCAGTTGTGCATGAGAACCAATCAGATTCTCTCTTCAGTTTGTTCAGTTAAGATTTGAAAATGAAAGAGAGAAGCTGATTGGTTGCCATGCACAACTGCTCCAGATTTTAGCTGCTCCACTTTTGATAAATTCCCCTCACTGTATCCTGAATGGTAAGAGGTGAGGAGCGTGTGATATACAGTATGCTGGATAACATTGTAACAAGATCTATTGCCGATAGGGAAATGTACTAACCTTGTCCCAGGGTGGATACCAGCGGGCGCAATATACCTTGGCTGATAAAAGAGTAACAATGTACTATACTGGGCGCCCTTATATTAGAAGTTTCAATGTATTCCCTTACAGTCATGTGAAATAGAAAGTACACCCTCTTTGAATTCTATGGTTTCAGGACATAGATTGTAAGCCCTCACAGGCAGGCCCCTCCTTACCATCTTGTCTTGAATTGTATTATAATTGTCATGTCTTCCTTATATTGTACAGCACTGCGCAAACTGTTGGCGCTATATAAATCCTGTATAATAATAGTAATAATAATTTAAAAAATCATCTGGTCCTTAGCAGGTCTTAGAATTAGGTAAATACAACAACACATGACATATTACACCGTGTCATTGTTTATTTTACAAGCAAAGCTGAAATGGAGAGGTTATGTGTGAAAAACTAAGTACACCCTTAGTGCTTCCATAGAAATTAAGAAGCTAAGTACTAGCCAGGTACTGCTTATCAAATGCCCTTGATTAATTGATCATCGGCAAGTGTGACCACCTCCTATAAAAGCAGAAGTTTTAACAGTGCTTTGCTGGTCTGGAACATTCAGGTGTGTGTTAAAGGAGAACTATGGGGTTAAGGCTTTTCCCCATAGTTTTCCTTAGGGTAACGAGAGGACACAAACTAGCGTCCTCCCGTCACCCTAGGCAGCTAGGGAGGCAAGACATCAGCAATGAACTTAGAGAAGCAATTCTTGCTGCCCATCAATCTGGGAAGGGTTATAAGGCCATTTCCAAACGATTTAAACTCCATCATTCAACAGTGAGGAAGATTATTCTAGAATGATTAGAAATGTATCTATTTACATCATTATTATATAAACGGTTAATTGCTTAGCTGTCCCTCCCTGGGCCTCTTTGATTTAGGATCCTACGTTATAAAAAAATAGAACCAACATGTTCTGATACACTTTATTGCACTTTTCTATTAGTACCTAAAGGGGGCAGTATAAAACCTCCACATAGGTATCAAACCAATGTGATTCAAACATTACCATATATTTAATGTTCATAGGTAGTAGTTAGTTTACATTCTGGAAAAAAAGTCTCCAATATTCCTCCCTTAGGTGGCCCTAAAAAAACAAATAGCCTTTATCAGGTCCCATATTTATCTTATTTTAAGAAAAAGGGGTCGGTGGGAATAGCATATCTATTTTATAACCCTTGGCTGTACTATTCCCAGGAGCCAGGTCACCAATGGTCCTTAAAAACTACAACTAGTGCCTAACTTTTGAGGTTTTCTATAGTTGTTGTCAATGGAGCTGGCTCTTACAAAAACATTCTGCTGGCTCCTGGATTGTATAAACTGGTTTCTGAATTCCATATGAATTTGTCCACCCCTGCTATAACCCTCAATGATCTTATATTATGGAAGGAGGAATAAATAAAGAGAACCCCCTTGACATTAATAAATAACTGTTAGAGGCACTGACCTTGTTAACCTCATTTTTTTATATGGTCATGTGGGAAAGGAGGGCACACCTCCTTCCCACCCCAGCCCACAGTGACAGTCAATGTCATGCACTACCTCCCTATATACTACCACCATGAGGCGACAAACCCCCATCAGTGCCGGGGCATGTGGCGTGGACTCATAGTTACATAGTATTTGAGGTTGAATAAAGACATTAGTCCATCAAGTCCAACCTATTAGGATCTCATTCTAGGAGTACCTGTACCCCTGTATATTACGGTCCCTTAAGAAATCGTCCAAAAGTTTCTTGAACAATTCCACATTCTTTGCTGAAATCACTGTCTGTGGCAGTGAGTTCCAGACCCTTACTGATCTTACTGTGAAGAACCCCCTTCGCACCTTGTGCTGGAATTTTTTTTCCACCAATTTTAGGTGGTGGCCTCTAGTTTTTGTAATGGAGTTAATTTTAAACAGTTTATCGCTAATGTTGCTGCCACCATTGATCTCACCATTGACTCATACTATTTTGCATACGCCAGTGAAAACCAAACCGCCCAGGATGTACAGGACGACTGATAGCCGCATAATAACTCCCGGCCATCCATGTCAACTAACCTGTTGCTCTGGCAACCCCCAGAGCAATGTTGCATAGTGGTGCTCCCTCAAGGGGGTAACTACTGGAGATGATGTTATGTAGATAGGCCAAAGGCCAATCAACCTCATGTACCCCAAAACCCATCTTGTGTGTGCATCCATATGCTCACCCATGATAAATATCCACAGACAGGTAACTGGTCCATATCCGCAAAACTCTTCATGTATAAAGAAACCATATAGCAAAAAAATAATGATATGAACAATAATACAAACATACTATGGCAATGGCAGCCTTCCTATATATTATTTTACATAGGGCTATGTCAGATTTTTATACATACATGATAT